ATGATCCATGATAATGTTTTATTAAATGATTTGCTTAATCAAGAACCAATAACCTTTAGTTAAATGATTCTTTAACCTCTTTGAGATAGTTAGCAGCGAATAGACATCAGGATTCCACTAAATGACTCTACGACTTGCATAAACTGCATTCCTTTTGATATACAGTTCTGCTGCTAAGCATTCCTGGATCCCAGCGTGCAGAAGCAAGCCCCCGATTGACCAAACTTCCTGCACCAGCTGCTAAATAGCCTGCCATCTCGCCCTGTCTCCTCCAGCCATGCCCAGCGCCATTTATTTTTGAGACCTTTATCTATGGTCCTGACATCTTCCCCAGAGTAATAAACTGCATTGTGCCCTCCGTGCAATTCTCTCTATCATTCTTCTCTCCAAACACAAAGTTTCATTTTTTATTTTTTTATTTTTAATACGTCTCTTCGTTGAATGGAGCAGTAAACGGCGCAAGGTGACTTTCTGTGTAGAACTTCAGCACTAAACCACAATCTATCTGGCGACTTGAGCAAGGAACTCCTTTGCTCCTTTGCTAACCATTGGCATTTATTTACCGTACATTTATTTTCGATTTTTTTTTTTTTTTTTACCCACAGGCAATCGCTACGAGCTGGAAACCAGCCTGGGGTCGGAACACTTCAATCCCTGACAATTTTTAGTTACTGCTTAAATTGTATTGGCTGAATTGCTTTTATACTTAAACCTTGAAATCCTTAGAGGAACATTGAAGAGAAACAATATTTTAGAAGAGTTTCAAATAGAAAAAGACTGATTCCAGAAATCTGAAAATGTGTTTTGGAGTGAAAGAAGCAAACAAAGAAAATTAAACAGTTAAAAGGTGAGAGGATTTCTAAAAACAGGAGACTCTTTAGACTCAACACAAAAACACTGAGGAACCAGGAGACAGGAGCCCCAGTCCCAAATGCAGCGGTTCATCGAATGTGGAGCTGAATGTGTGGAGGTGGATCAGTGAGTCAGAGGAGACTCTGTAGAAGGACAGAAGCCCTGCAGGACAGTCCACATAAACCGCTACTCTGTTAAAGGAGGTGGAAAAAGGAGAGAAGGAAGTAGAGGAGGGAATAAATGTTGGTCTGCTATCGTGCCAAGCATAATAACCGTCATTAGAACATCTCAGACTCCAGGACTGATCATTCCATCCAAACCAACAGTTTTCTTGTTTGTTGATTCTTCTGTAACTTAGTGAGATGTTAACTCTTCCTCTCCACTTCAGCTCCCAGTAGCAGCGACCAGTCAGAGCATTTTGACACAGCAGCTGAGGCCAGTAATCAAATCTGTCTGGATGATCAGGATATGACTGAACCTCTTCAACATGTTCCACCTTCCTCCTGTCTTCAGATATTCTGAGGTTTCTGTTCACTGTGTTTGTGTCGATTGAAAGCCGAGTGGAATCTGACAAAGAGAACAGACACAATCCAGCTGCAGTTATTGATCGTTTACTTTCTCTCTGATGAAGATTCCTGAAAGAGTAACCGGTGAGTTTAAAGATGGTTAAATGTGAGCTGCTCTTTTGTCATGGATTAAATGACAAACGTACACTTCCTTAGACCTGGTGTCATCCATCGGACTCCAGCAGGTTCAACCCTGAAAGGAGGAGGAGTTACACCATCAGTCTCTTTGAGCATTAACACACGGTTTAGTTCATTTTCATTAATGGTCAATATATACATTTCTCACTCGTCCTTTTCTGATAGGCCTTCTATGCAGCAGGTTCCTCCATACCTGAGATCTTCCAGTCTCCA